TGATGTATGTGACGTTGTTGCATTTTAATGTTTTGTTAGTCTAGCGCACGAGATGCGCCGCTGCTGTGTTATGCATTCAAAACATTAGAGAAATATAGTAGCTCAATGCGGAGAATATCTTAATTAGGTTAAAACCGAAACCAAGCCATTCACACAGAACGCATATTCAGCGCATTTTTTAGACGGACAAAATATGACTGCTGCACTCGCGTCTCACACAAGAGATGTAGCCATGCAAAGTTTAAAAAGTTTCAACTTTTAGAAAACACGTCGCGAATTTGTGAAGGTTTATTCCATTTCAAGGCGTCTCTTATGTTTTTAAATGCAATCTGTGTGAATCGCGCTTTGGTTCTTTGGATTAAGCAATGCATAAATACATGATGCTGTTTTGTTCATAATTGTTTATGCAATTTACGAAATTATATTTGATTTATATATGTTAATTTAGACGTTATGCACGGTTTTGTATAGACAGTTGTTATTTCATTGTATTGAATAAACAATTTAATGCGCTGCATTATTTTGGTCATTGCGCCCTCCTGTGGCCTCGGGAGACAAGACAACATTTTCCTTAAGACTTATTTAATCTGCATATAATACATAAGAAAGGAGATATTTGTTTACATTTTATTTTGTGTTTGACTGTTAAAACAAAACAAAAAAATATTTGTTGTCTTAATAAATTGGGTAAATTAAAAATACAGTGGTTAAATTAAAAATAAAATCTATTGCTCTTTGTTTTAAAAAGGGTTATAAATTTTTGTAATAATTATCGATACCAAACGATATGAAACATTATATCGTTGATAAATTTTTTAGCTATATCACCCAGCCCTATGTTACACTGTAGACATTGTACAATGCCAATTTTGTAGACATCGCCCAACCCTATTTGCATCTCACCTGCAGTCTGGGTTGTGAAAGAGGTCACTGCGGTTTTGCGTTCTCTGCACTCCGGCGGTAGTTCCCAGGCTGTGCGGTGCGGCCTGGCCTCCACTTTAACGTTGTAATGCATGTTGGGTGTGAGGTTGCTGAGGCACAGTGAATAGCATCCCGCCTTTACCAGCTCACACTCCTCGTCGTTTAAAGACACAATGTGCACATAGTTACTGTTGCTAGGCAGCCAGGTTAGGCTGGCCGAGGTAGCCGTTATGCGTTCAACGCGCAGGTGAGTCGGCGCTACGTTCACGTCCCGTCCGACTAGTATACTGCAACGCAGCTGATCCGAGTTGCCTCGCTCCGTCAGGCACTGCACCGCAATCCGATACGCCTTCTGCGCCAAATCTAGCCTCTCCAGAACGGCCTTCGTTTGGGTACCAAATGGCACGTTGAGTCGCAACTCGTGGTCCACGTAGACATTATAGCTAAACACAGAACCCCAGCCGGCCGGGACCAGTGGAGACTCCCAGCCAATGATGACACTCTTGGCTAACTGCTTGATTAGCGCTAGCTTGCGGGGGTAAGGCACAGTGTCCACCCCAACCTCCTCTAGATCCAAGTCTAAGCCGTTACTGAGCAGGATGGCCAGGGCAGGTTTAGCGGGGTTAGCTTTGGCATTGTCACCAGGAGCCGAGGCTGTCGTGGAGGTCTCCGTCCTCTCGGAGGCGCTGTGGGCGAAGCGTAAGTGGTGTTGGTGCAGCCGCTCGCTGCCGCTGTGGAAGCTGCTCTCCTGGAAGGAATTATGGGACATATCGCCAGCCTGGTGAGGGTGTGAGCTCATGAAGTCATCATCCGACACGCGCTCCACAAAGTTGGAGGGAACGAGGCCTCTTCTGCCGTCCATCAGCTCGCCTACAGGGGGTGACAGAAAGATGGTGTAACACAATAGTGTTAGTTATTGGAAATTTAAACTAGATTTTTAGAAGTTTAGAAGTGAGAACTGAATTAGATTTTTACATTTTCTGGGCAAAAGTGTGATGAAAAGTACACACACACACACACATACATATATAATGTTTATATCTATATAAACATATATAAACATTTGGAATTTATGAAAAAATATATTTTACTATTCATTACATAAATCAATGATTTACATTTTTTTTTTTTAAATATTAATAAAATATGTTATAAATATAAAACATTTTCAGCATTTATGAAAAACTATTTTATTATTCATTACAAAAATCAATGATTTAAAGATGTAAAAAGTAAAAACATGAATAAAAATTATATTATAAATACTTATTTTCAGCATTTATGAAAGCCAATCTTATTATTCATTAGAAAAAAATCAATTATTAAAAAAAAAAAAGTAAAAACATTAGTAAAAATATTATAAATATATATTTTCAGCTTTTATTAAAAAGCACTTTATGACTCATTAAAAATCAATGACTTAAAAAAATTTAGCAAGCTAAAATGTCTGCTCCATGTTTTTAACTATGATAATTAAAAATAAATACATATTTCTGATAAACGTCTGCAGTCTGGTTTTTATTTTGTGCGTACAGCATCTTTCTGGGAATTTGAACATTTCATTTTTTCTATATACTGGTCTCATTTGAGTGCAACAATTCTCTTTTTTTAAATTAAAGAATAATTAAAATAATTAAAATGGTAAAAAATAATTTTAAAAATTGTAATAAACTCACCCTCATAAAAGCCATCATCATCCATGTCTCCATATACGTAAATGTACTCTCCTGCTGTGAGGGGCAACTCGACCTCTGGGTTATCATTAGGACCATCATAGGGATTGTAACTGCATTTAGAAAATAAAACAAGCCTCCATTTAAAGCGTGTTATTTGATCGATGTTAAGATACTCTCCCAGTTTAATATGCAGAGACAACTGTATCATTCAAGTAAACCATTCACAGGTTGATTTTCTCCACGACACTGCTGATGACCATGGCAGTTTAGCACATGCTGTAAGCTCGTAAGCAGAAATCAATAAATGAAGTTAAATGCTGTTTACCTGTACCGTGCGATGAAGACCTGGAGTTTCACTGCTCCTTTACTGACTGAATACGGCGCCGGAGAAACATCAATATCCAGCTCCTCAACTTCACTAGCAGTGTCCACCTGAAACACACACATCAACACACACTCAGAATATCGAACACATAGGATAGTAAAATCAATAGGCTGAAAAACTTTTAATGAAAAGGAGAAACACTTTCCAGATGTTTTGTTGTTGTATTTGCAATCAAACTATGGTATGATTCTAATTACAAAGATGTCTGCATGGACAGATTGCATGACACCCTCATCTTCAAAAACCATGAGCAAAACTCAAAATCACAAAAAAAACAATAACAACTATGCATGCATTGTGCTCATTTATCTCACATTATGCAGCACATGCAGAATGTCCATTTTTCAATAATAATAATAACAGGTCTGTGGTTTAATAAACTTGCAGAGTCAGCTGCTGAAATCATCTAAATATAGTGCTGCTGTGAGTAAGAAGTAAATGGAGGCATGCAGGCAGTATTTATAGCTCAAGGGTAAAACCCTTTTATGGATAATCACTTACAACTACTACAGCCTTCATAATCCAGCAGCACTGCTCAGGATTATCTCACTGAATATCAGCTTTAGACAGCTGCACACGCGCCGAGAGCGCCTGCACTCTGACCCGGGAACAGTTTTTAAACTTCCCAGCTAAAGCTCAAACAAACGCTTCAAGGTAAACTCATTCATGAAATCTAACCCAGACAGGCATTCTAGATGATTCAACATAAAAACAGTGCAGCAAAACAATCAGCTCTGCATGTGTCTACATTTGTAACTTCTTTTATTTAGTTGTTAAAGACATTTTGAAGTCCTAGTTCTTGTCAAAAAATGTTAGAGACCCCTGTACTAGACACATGTACTTATAAGCAGTGTTTAAAAAAAAAACATTAATATACTATTGTAGTAATTATTATATTTTTAATTACATTTCATTGTTCAGTTTTTATTTTTTTATTATTTTTTAATTTTAAAGTTTGAGTTGTCTCATTTTGACATTTTTTTTTAATGTGTATTTATTTATTTATATTTTTGTCTTTTTAATTATGTCTATTTATTTATAAAATTTTATATAGTGAATGATTTGAACTAGTAATAGTTTTTTATTAATGTCTATTTAGTTTTTACTCATTTTTATTTCAGGTTTTTGTTTTAGTGATTTTTTTTTTGTAATAAAAAAAAAATAAAAATAAAAACGTTTGCTGACCCCTGCACTAGACACATGGACTTGTGAGTTTTATTGTAGTAGTATAAATATACTGTTACAGTTTTTTGAATTCATGTTTATCCCTTATAATTCTTATATTTTTTATTTTATTACATTTTTACTTCAGTTTTAGTCATTCTGTTGTTTGTCATTTTTAGTTAGTTTTTTTTACATTAAACATTTTATTAGTTTTTTATGGCTTTTTAGTTTTTATTTCAGCTGTTTTAGTAGTTTTAGTTCTTGAACTTAAAATAAATAGGATTTATTTTATTTGACTTAACATTTATTTCAATTACCATAATGTTTATTTTTTATATAGATTAAGGTTAATGATAACAACACTAATCCAGCTGTCTAACAAACCTGGCACTGTATATTACAAATATTGGCTCTTTTTGCGTCTGCTAAATTCATCCCTGTAAACACTGGTATCTCCTCTCACCTCGTGTGTAGGGCTGGCCTTTCGGGGGCTGGCAGATTTGGGAGAAAGGTGAGTTGTCTCAGATCTGGGTGGCGTAGGGCTGGACGTGGAGCCGGACTTCACGCTGATGGCAGGCAGCTCTCTGTGTTTGACGGTCGGTGAGCGTTCGGGACGTGACAGTTCAGCTGCGTGTGGAGTGGAGCCCGTCCGCAAAACCGCAGCCACATCTAACATGCAACGATTGCAGAGAAATACAACTTAAAATAATGCTGATCATAAATTTGAGATGATGTTGAGATGTCTGGGGTGTGTCCTAAGTATGCACCGATATAACGGCCAATACTCAGTATCGGCTGATAAAAGCAATTATCAGAACTATCATCCATTGGCCGATTGTTAAAATACAGCCAATGATCAGAGCCAATTATATCATGACAAACAGTTACAGTTCAAAACTTGTGAAGAAAATGACTCCTGCGTCAAATTCAAAGCTGTTGAACGCAATAAAAATGCATTAACTTTCTGTTTGACCCTATGAACCACCCGTAGTTCAAGCCAGAGTTGCCAGATCCACCAAATATTATCTGAATATGCCTCCCAACCAATAATTGCAAAGAACTTTGAGCTTTGTTACTTCTGATAAGAAATAAAGTCTCGGCTCTCACATAATTTCCATTTTATCACAAAATTCAACAATAAATGCTGTTTTGACGTTCTTAAATGTGGCGTGACAGATATGATTATTTCAGTTCAAGAGGCAGCGCAGAGCGTGAGTCTCTTACACTTTAATACATGTTATAGCACGAAATATACATGAATGAACATCAGAAGGTGTTAAAAGCTAAAATACAACTTACCAAAATGTTTCATGTCTCATATACATTACATTTACATTTAGTCATTTAGCAGACGCTTTTATCCAAAGCGACTTACAAATGAGGACAATGGAAGCAATCAGAATCAACAAAAGAGCAATGATACACAAGTGCTATAACAAGTCTCAGTTAGCTTAACGCCATACACATAGCAAGGTTTTTTTTGTTAATTATATAATAAATAAAAAGAAAACAGATAGAAAAGAAAAAGAATAGAGCAAGCTAGTGTTAGAGGCCTTTTTTGCTTTTGTTAATTGTATAATAAATGAAAAGTGCTAGAGTTAGAGGGTCAAATAAAGATGGAAGAGATGTGTTTTTAGCCGATTCTTGAAGGTCGGATTGAGTTGGGCAGGTCATTCTACCAGCAGGGAACATTTAATGTAAAAGTCTGTGAAAGTGATTTTGTGCCTCTTGGGGATGAACAATAAAGCGACGTTCACTTGCAGAATGCAAGCTTCTAGAGGCACATAAGTCTGAAGTAATGAATTTAGATAAAGGGGAGCAGAGCCAGTGGTGGTTTTGTAGGCAAACATTAGTGCCTTGAATTTTATTTCATATAATCACTCAATCAGTGTTTCAACCGAAAGAAAGACGTCAAATAAAACAGCTTGTGAGTGATATGTCACTTAACATTGCATTTACCTCAGTAAAGTTATCCAGTGTTCACAGTTCATTAGTTAGCTTTAAAAACACTAGAGGGAAATCTGTCATAAAGACACGTTGCAATTGCAATGCAATTGCATTGTATACAAATGCTTTTATTTGATTGTGATTATTATATATTAAAATATATAGCACTGAATATAATAGTTTTGTTGTTAATTTCAACCTATAATATTATGTACCAAATGAGAAGGATCTCTGTATATTTTACAGCATTAATTGGGAGAGATTTATATATCAGCATATACATAATTCTGAATAATCGGTTATCGGTATCGGCTGGGAAATTTCATATCGGTGCATCCCTAGTATGTCCTCAATGAGACAAACATGCATGTGTGTGTGTGCACAGATGTGGGATAATGCTTTGAGCTGCGGTTTACATGTATGTGTTCATGTGTCTAGTCGACCCCTGTGATCTACAGGTTAGAATCAGGGCTGATTAAGTGAAAACCATCTGCTTGCATAAATGTCACGACCCCCGTCACTGAGACTCCAGTAGAAATCATTCTTTGACCTTCATCTCCTCCCTCTGCTCACATTCATGCATTGTTTGCCTGCTATAAAATGTCATTTGCATTGAGCATTTTCATCTGCAGCTTTAACAGAATTCATTATATTGCAGAGGATTCATTAGAAAAAGCAAATAAAAACACAAAAATGCATAGCAGAAACTAAAAAGTGCATGTTAACATTTAAACATGCTGTTATTTGTGTGCTAAACATAATAATGCATCCAGACCTGCAGCAAAAGATCAGGACTATGTTCAGAATGGAGTACTTACAGCAAACAGCGCAGTACATACTGCATTCAGTTCTACTGTGTAAAAGTAGTACATGAAACACACAGTGGACAGATGCAGTATGTGTTTAATTTAGTAAGTAATTAGTAATTATCAATTATCATCTTAGAAATATTCACAGTTACTTTACATTCGAATCCAATTCAATGCAAAAACGTCACTTTTGGCAGTCTGATTAAATAATGAGTCAAAATGTCACAAATGACAGCTGATATTACTTTAGTTCATTAGTTGAGTGAATTGCATTGTGTGATGAATTGCTCTTTTGTATGCTGCTAATTTTTTAAAAAGTAGATCCTTCAGGAATTTCATGCGCATGAAAATGTTCATTGTGTATTTACACTACCAGTCATACGTTTGGAATAATTAGTTTTTTTTTTATAAAAAAATACAGAAAAACAGTAATATTGTGAAATTTATTCGTGTGACAAGAAAGCTGAAATTTTAGCAACCATTAGTTACTGCTAAGTTATTATTATTAATGGTTCTTATTATTATCAATGTTAAAAACAGTTTTTGCTGCATAATATGTGTGGAAACAGTGAAACATTTTTTTCAGGATTGTATAATGAATATAATGTTCAAACGGACAGTAATTAATTATTATTAATTAATTAAATTAATTAATTATTTTACATATTCAGCAAGGATGCATTAAAGTGATCTAAAGACATTTATAATGTTTATAATTCAGCTTTGACCAAAGGAATAAATTACATTTTACAATATATTCACATAGAAAATAGTTATTTTAAATTGTAATAATAAATAGTTTTTACTGTATTTTTGATCAAATAAATGCAGCCTTTGTGAGCATAAGAGACTTCTTTCAAAAACATTTTAAAAAAAAATGTGGTCAGTAGTGTATGTATAAATAAGCATTACTGCAAAAATAATAAGTAATGTAATAAGTAATATACTTGTAAACCATTGTGAACATAGTCAAGCAGCAGCTGTCATTAAGCACAGATCACCATGGTGAATTCTGATTGGTACATCAGAATAAAGCAGCCAATCATATCCTCACAAAGCTGAGAAACATGCAATGTGCTACCAATTGCATAAGTGATCATATGACAAAAACCAAACCAAAACCTATGTTAACAAGATGAGATCTGCAAACAGTATGACCATCAACACATAGAACATCAACTAAATAAAGTGCTTTATGTTATGGTTCAGGTTAGGGGTGGGCGTTATGATCGACTGGTTTCTCACGCTATATATTGTCATATCGCCCAGCTCTAGCTCAGGACTGCACATATTAAACTCTTCATGGATGTGACCACTGCCTCCCACTGCTCACAACACGGTCACACTCCATGTGTTATTCATGCAGGCGGACACGTGACGTCACAGCCTAGAACCAAACTGAATTCAATAGTACCAAGCTCAGAGGCTTCACAGAGGGCTTCATTACCCTCCAAACTCCAGAACGCGATGTCTTCCCATGAGGCATTTGTGCCTGGAAAAAGAGGGGATAATGCAGACGCAATCCACTTATGCATCTCAGACACTCATTCTTAGGCTGTGCTCTGAAACCTAGTGAGCTGCCAACCTAGACAGCATAATAAAGCATCATAGGTGTGACCCGACACAAAAGCTGGTCCAAAACATACTACTGTATGTTACCTTAAAAGACAGCTTGTTTTGGCCTAATTCTATGGCAACATACTATAGTGTGTACAGAAACCCAGAATGCATTATGACAGAAAAAATCAAGAGAAATCTATAATCATTAAGGGTGCACAACCATTCAAAAGTTTGGGGTCGGTAAGATTTTTAAATGTTTTTAAAAAGGAGTCTTTTCTGCTCACCAAGGCTGCATTTATTTGATAAAAAACACAGCAAAAGCTATAATATCGTGAAATATTCAGAAATCATTCTAATATACTGATTTGCTGCTCGAGAAACATTTCTGATTATTATCAATGTTGAAAACAGTTGCGCTGCTGAATATTTTTTGTGGAAACACTGATACATTTATTTTTTCAGTATTCTCTGATGAATAGATAATATAAAAGAATAGCATACATTTAAAACACAAATCTTTTGTAACATTATAAAAGTTTTTACTGTCCCTTTTGATCAATTTAATGCATCCTTGCTGAATAAAAGTATTTCTTTAAAAAAAATCATACTGGCCCCAAACTTATACCCTATATTGAGTATTGAATATAATATATATATATATATATAAAAAATAATAATAATTTTAATTTAAAAACTAATATTTTGCTGTATATTTTTATTTGTGTAATGAGCATGAGCATTATTAGCTTAGAAACTAATGATAATGTCAAACTCCACTGGAATCAACTGTTGAGTCTCTGTGCACTTCACATATAAAAGTGTTGCTGAGTGTTTCAAATCATTCACATAACTAGCTGCATTTTATTTAGGATGCTGAGACTGATGCCAGTGTAGACAGCGAGCTCACTAGGCTTTAGGCTACTGTTTTATCTTCTATCAGTGGACCAATGCACATAACCAAACTCTATAAACAATCACAACAAACACCAACACAACTGTGGATTGAGGATGCCGATGCCGATATCTTGGAAAGCAGGGTGGCCGATGGCCGATATAATTTTTTTTATTTTAATTTATATTTAAGAAATTTTTAATCATTTGAAAATGGATTAAAAATAATTGTGTAAAATAAACATACTTATACTTTAGAAGACAAAGCATTTTTCACAAATAAATAAATATTTAATAAAAATCTAATTATAAAGGAAGTAAACACTGTAACCAACAGGGCACTCAGTATTCTGGGAAGTTTGTGTGCATTGGGAATCTTTTTTTTTGTTTTTTCAAATAAAGCCAAGGTAACACTCATTTTACATACAGTACGCAATGAAAATGACATGAATATGACAACGAGCAAATGCATAAAGCACAGCATAATTTGAAATCACTAGTTTAAAGTTTGTCGATCGCACGTTTCCAGTCAAGCAGAGCTCTCCTCCTGTAAGCATTCAATTCACACAGACCGACCGTCACCCAGAGAACACGTGATCATGCAGGATACAAATGCACACTTCAACTAGATTCAACTAGAAGTCTGCAAGGTTTGTGAAATTAAATGTTCATTAGTCATTCAAAGATTTGTTTAAATGATATAAATGCGTATTTGCTGAATGCTGATGGCAAATGAGAAAGTATTATAATGTTTGCCTTTCTATTACTAATAATATTAAAGCAATCATTATAATACTTTTTGTATACATTTTAATTCCCTTGTTTAACAGTTAACAAAGTTAACAGTTAACAAACTTTGTTTATCTGATTATTAGATAGACTTCTATCCATATTAGACAGAACTGAACGATGACACTGTTCACATTCTCCCTCTTGTTCGCTACAAGAGGGAGAATGTGAGCACTGTGTTCAGGCACTGGCGTTCACTCAGCGCTGTCAAAGTAAAAGTCCCGCCTCGAACACATCGCTAACCAGAAAAACTTATCGGCCGATGCCGATATTTGAAAAATGCCAAATATCGGTCGATATATCGGCCTTGGCGATATATCGGTCGACCACTAGCCTCGACCCAAACAAATCAGCGGCAAAATAAATCAACAACACTGCAAACTTTGATTTGATGCAAAATCCTTCATTTAAATCTGAAAGAACACATCTGTTATGTGTCGTGTAATGATCGGTATTTTAGTCTCACCGGACAGGCCGACCCCATTGGTCAGCTGGGTCAGGCTGGGGTCCGACAGGTCGATCTTTGAGGCCTGAACCCTGAATTTGTCCAGTTCCTGTGACAGCATCCCGAACTGCTCGCTCTGACTGCGGCATTTCTCCTCCAGTTCACGAACTTTTGCCTACACACAGGGACGACATTAATATGCAGATATTGCTTAATATTCATGAGGTGCATTAATACGTTAAACGTATCAGCTTGTCTGATGAAGAAATGCAGATGCTATTAGTCAGCCAAAGCAGTGAATGATGCACATGTGGGATTAGCCAATCAGAGCATGTGATGATGTGATGAAGATGACATCATCTACAAATTATAGATTAATCATCTAAACGAAAATATCCAACTCAGAATTCAATCTGAGCTATCACTTATTTTGGTTTTCAAGACATTTTTGTGAACTTCAGGATATTAATCTCAGTGGAAAGTGCTCTTAACAATCGTTAAAATTGAACAAATCGTTAAAGAAAACATCTTACGGAGGTGCAAATTAGGGGGAAAAATCTATAACTACATACTCACTTATACGTTTACTGATAACTATTACTTATCATCCAACAGATAAAAATCACAAGTCTGAAGTTTATGGTGAAGTTTTGTTGTCTGTTCAAATCATTAACCATAAGCACTAATTATTTTGGAACATTTTAATATGTTATTGTTTGTGTTACTGAAAGCTAAAACCTATAAAATCATAAAAACCTGGTGTGTAGGTTTTCTTGATAACAATAATACTACATATATAATATTAATGATATATATATATATACAATATGCACAGTCTTGCGAGTTGCTTTTTTATGAAAGCATCATTGCAAGACGGTAAAGGTTCATAAACAAAGAAACATTTTATTTAAATGTATAATTAAAATCTTAAGTCTGATCAGTAACAGCACATCCCTCCTCAAAATATATGGATATTTGGAATAATTTTCATTAATTTTAATGGTTCTTACATATGTTAATATTTGTGTTAATGAAACTAAAAACCTAGACAATCATAAAAACCTAGTGTGTAGATAACAATATTAATACATTATGTCAGCTGTAATCATATGAAACATGCAAAGTCTTTGTAAAAAAGCATTTTGCAAGACATATACATGTATACATATACATACATGTATACATATGTATGTATGTATGTGTGTGTATATAATTTATCATCCAACAGGTGAAAATTGTAAGTTTGAGGGATAATATCAATTAAAGAAAATGACTCATTGAAATTTATTCCTTATTGTTTGGAGTTTGTTCAAATCACAAACAATAAGTGCTAATTATATATACAGGCTATTTTAATAGTTCTTACATATGTTAAGATTCGTGTTACTGAAAAAAATCATAAAAACCTGGTGTGTAGCTTTTCTAGATAACTACATCAACACACTGAGTCTGCTATAATCACCACATGATATATGCACAGTCTTTATAAAAAAGCATCTTGCAACACAATAAAGCTTCATAAGTAAAGCAGTGAGTAAAATGGAGGTAAACAGGACAAAGCAAAGGGGTTAAAGCCATTTTGCTGAGTGTAAAACACAAACATGTAGTAAAAGTATTAAAAACTCCAGTGTTTGTGAGAGTACGGTGAGCTAGTTTCACTTCCGGCTCTGTGGTTCAGTTTCCTGGCACATTGAGAGCACAAGGCTCTCACACACACACACACACACTCTCACACACACACACACACACACACACACACACTCACACTCACACTCACACTCACACTCACATACACACACACACACTCACGTACACACACACTAACTTGCCGACTGTCACTTGTTCAGTCGATGCTCAAACTATAAAAATAAAGAGTTTCCTGTAAAACTCTCACCTCAAAAGTCTGTGTGTCACATTCAAACTTTAAGTGTCGCATTTAACTTTAAGACATTACATAGAAAATAGTCAGCAAAATGCATTTGCATATTGCAACACAAAAAGCTGATCAGCACCAACTAATAAAACTACACTTTTAGGAGTGTTTCTGTTGTCCCTGTTGCACTTGAGTGCTAAAACCTCGTCTAGTTGAGAAAACCTAAAACAGCTTGCACAAACCACACACACAAGCTCTAGAAACTAAAGCAAAAAAAAAAGTGGTTTTTGGGCCACATGCATGTGTTTTGAGCGGGTCTGATACCTGCATGCAGTCCAGTGTATTCTGGTTAGCGGCCACAAAACACAAAGTATAGGACAGAAAGAGAGAGAGGAAACATCATGCATGTCAAAAGCAGTCAGAGCAGATATTAGATTAGATGATTAAACGCTGCAGTCCAGGGCCTGTTGAACCGCATCACTGTTGAATGCGATCTAAAACCTCAAGACTCAAAATACACAAAAACTGAGAGTATTAAATTATTTTTCAGTTTTGAGGTACTAGAGTGAATACTATATTTTTCTAGATCAAATGCAAGGACAGTCAAGCAAGAAATCTGGGCTGCACACGCTCAAGATCAAGGGTTTGATTCCCACTGATACTGATATAATGTAAAGGTCAAATGCAATATGAATTACTTTGGAAAAAATAAAGCAAATTATTGCTTTGAACACCATATTCAAGAGCTCTCTAAGCACTCTTAATGCTCATTCAAACCTTGTTGAATTAATTAATTAAACAAAATGTATTTGTTGCATATTGTTTATTTTTTATTTGTTTTACAATTATTTAATTTTATTAAAATTTAAATAGATGTTTTGGCAATATTGTATGTAAAACAACTCAAAGTACTTTTAAAAAATCACAAAATGGACTAGTAGCTAAACAGAGCCCTCTGCAGGTTGCACATACAATCATCAGTGATGCAGTTTAGTGAGAGAAACAGGAAATGCAACACATCAAACAGGAAGTGCACACGCTGTACTCTACCAGCTCTCTGTGCAATACGAGCTGCACCAGATCCTGAGAAAGACACAACTCAGTTAAACAACACACAAATACACAGTCATTAAAACCCCAAGCATCCTAAACACAGACATTTTCTAGCATCCACTCATCACAGCTCTTTAGTTAATGCAATTTAAATGGTTAATTTAACAAGAAACTGTCATAACAAAAACTAAAGCAAAGCAATGAGATGTAAAACTCACCTCCAGCATCTGCACGACACCTTCATGTTCTCTTTTAGCAAATAACTGAGCCTGTGGAAGCAGAGCACACTCTTTAACGCAAAATCACACATATAATTATCTCATTCGTTAATTTGCATTCAGGAATACGAAGCACCAACATTAGACTTATTCCTATATAAATTCCCATTAAAAACAGAATTAATATCATAATAACACTGTGCAACTGACCCGCTGGAGTCGCTTGATTTCATCCTGTTTGAATTTGAGGATAGCCAGTGCCTGCTCATGCTCCAATTCCAGCTGCTGCCTGCGCTCGGCGACCTCTCGCATGTGCTGCCATCGCATACACACACGACACAAATATACAAACCCATTACACACCTAATGCAATGTCAACATGTTGAGAAACGGACTGAACGTGAGCTTTTTACCTTTAGGACCTGCTCTAGGTTCTCCAGCTTTGCACGGAGTCGCTGGTTCTCCTCCAGAACTGAACTATGCTGAGCGTTCAAAACACAGAGCTGTTCCTTTAGCTCCTCATTTTCAGCCTGCGACTACAGAAAGATAGAGTTTACACTGACCTTTAACACCCAGAGGGAGCATAAACACACCATCACTTGCCCAGCAATGGATGCTCTGCAGTGAATCGGTGCCGTCAGAATGAGAGTCCAAACAGCTGATAAAAACATCACAATAATCCACAAGTAATCCACAACACTCCAGTCCATCAGTTAATGTCTTGAGAAATCAAAAGCTGCTTTTTTGTAAGAAACAAACCCATCATTAAGATGTTTTAACCTTAAACTGTCGCTTCCGGCTAAAATACATAGTCCATTATAACGCTTCCTCCAGTGAAAAAGTCCATCTCCTGTTGTCTCTCACATCAAAATCCTGCCATATATTTGTTTAGAACCGTTTTGGACTGTTTTGGCTTGTAAACGCTGCTTGATCTGTGCAGATTTCTCTCCTGATTCAGATTAGATGACTTTTTCACTGGAGAAAGCAATATTATGAATAGAGGACTTGAAGTTAAAAACATCTCAATGATGGATTTGTCTCTGCTTTTGTCTTCTCAAGACATTAACTGATGGACTGGAGTGGTGTGGATTACTTGTGGATTATTGTGATGTTTTTATCAGCTGTTTGGACTCTCATTCTGACGGCACCCATTCACTGCAGAGCATCCATTGCTGAGACAGTGATGCAATGCTACATTTCTCCAAAACTGATGAAGAAACAAACTCATCCACATCTTGGATGGCTTGGATTGAACTTTATTTTTTTAATTTGACAATGTTTCACCTGGTCGAGCAGCTGAGCCTTTCTCCTGAGGAGTTCTGCCTCCTCCACTAAGTGCTCATTTCTGCTGTGCTCGTCCACTAGCTGGTTCTCCTGTGAACACACACACACACACACACACACACACACACACACACAGATTTCTGCTGTGCTCGTCCACGCGCTGGTTCTCCTGTGAACACACACACACACACACACACACACACACAGTTTTTCAGCCTGACATGCAGGAGACATGCACTGTAAACATTAAAATATGAGAAAACACTCACCAAATCAAGACATCGTTTCTGTCTCTTCCGCACCTCATGCTCAAGAACTTCACATTCTTTCCTCTTCTTGCCCAACTCACTTTCCTGCAGAAACATCAAAGAACATGTTCCGAAACATGGATATATTCATCAAATTGAAAAGAGAACCTCATGACTTTTGCAGTCATTCATAATTACTGAGTAAGTATATTACATAATAACTATTTACATTAATTATTATTAATCATTAAATGATCAACTAGTTTAACAGGCTCAGTGTCAGAGAATTTACTTTTTTGGCATTTACTTTCATTCATTCAGCATTTTATCCAACATAAGCAATTTGTCACAGTGCCAAAAAAATAAACAATAATGAACATATTTAATAAATAAATTTGTAATAAATAATAAATATCATAATGTATTAAACAATAAATAATAATAATAATAATGATTTAAATAGTAAAGACTGCAAGTTTGAAAGACGAATATTAATTAAAAAAAAATTTTAAACTGACAATTTAGCAATTTCTAAAATATAAAACTTAATATTTCACAGCTGAAAAAATCTAGAAAAATTCTACATCCATATAGGTTTTTAAGGATTTTTGAAGACTCCCAAAACTTTTCAAATTTCCTGATATTTCCAGGTTTTCCATGACGGTGCATATTTATTTGTCCCAGACCCATTTTCATATATTTGTCACAGGCTCCCATAATTCAGGTATTTTGGAATTTTTTAGGGTGGTTTGTTACTTAAAGTGCAAAATATGTGCAAATAAAAAGAGCATTTGGTGTCAGTGTGAATGTACATACACGCGCACACACACACACACACACATATATATGTGATCATGTGACTCTTACCAGCAACTGAAGACGCTCTTCTGTGGTCTGCTCTTCCTGGTGGGTGGAGCCTGTGCCCTGCTCGAGCTTCACTTGCGTCTCTGACTCCTCCCCCTCTGCAGGAGTCTCCTCCCCCTTAACAGGGGCCTCATCTACTACTGTGGGCGGGGTTTCAAACGCAACCTGAAAAAAACAAACACTTATAAACTGTAACCAAACATGCAGCAGTCACGGATGCTTTACCATACGATAATGTATATGCTAATGACATCAAGCTACTGAGTAAAACTCAAAGAAATATTTCACTCAAAAAGACTCAATCAAATTTTGCATTAAAAAATTTAAACACATTTCTTTAAATCAAAAATATCTAATTCTCATAATAGAGAAATTAAAATCACCCTTTTCAGATTCAATGACATTTTTGTATTAAAACCAGGAAAGAATAAATCAATGAAACAAACACTGCCATGATGTATATTTACAATTGTACACTATAAAAAAGATTTTTGTAACTAAAACAAAGATTATTAACATACATGTTTACAAGAAAATACTATTTCAGTTTTTCAACTTCAAAATTTCATGTCTAATTCAATGTGTTATTTGCCAATTCTTTATCATTGGGTGTGAAATTAACCAGCAATTTCAGAAATTTGCTAGTATTTCAGTAAAATTTAAATAAAAATGGTTTCTACCATTTTTTCACAATAGTGAGAATGAGATTGTTTCACATTACAGTACATAATTCTGTAATAATTCAGGGACGTGTTGTCAAATTCTTCATGAAAATAATTACAAAGCAAAAAATCTTAATGGTCTTAAAGTCAACATGAAATGTGATATGCAATCCTTTTTACTTAAAGAAAAAAATGTAATAAAAACACAAAAAATACATTTCTTGCTATCGATTACCAGTTATCGAGAGATTCACACTTTACCTAGTTTACCTTTAGCTAGTTTAGTTGAAAGCACCAGTCATGGGAGAAGTTGACATTTGGTCACAGCTCGTCTTTACTCAGTGGGTTAAGGGTCAAATGCCTTAGTGGCTAATTTTAGTGACCATACCTACTTATGCTCAAAGTGGAACTATTCCACTGCGGCCAAAGCCACGACCCGGTAACAGGATCAAACAGCCAACGCAGCACAAGCGGTGAAGAAGCCGTTCGTCAGCATTCAGACTCATTAACATCACACACACTCTCACTTACTGGCCAACAGACCAAACTTCAGCAGCTATACAAGTCACATTCTACCAAGAGAGATCCATAATGAGAGGAATATTTCGCTTTTATCACACTATAATGATTCAGCGCTGCAGTCGGCTTCAGGAAGTTAAAATCCCATTCATGCTCACCAAAGAGAAACTGAATAATCAAGCATAAACCTTTCAAAGAAAACCTACCATGGTATAAGCGATTGAAATCAAGCCAGTGGATTAAAGTTTTAAATGCATGTTTATTTCGCTATGAAATATTGTTCTTTTGCTTATTATAGCCCTGCTCTTGAGAAAAAAAAATCGGATTTGCAAAAAAGGCCTAATATTACCTAATTTGATGATGCTGAGTTCAGAAATATAAAAAAGTATTTTTTTTCATAAAATAAGAACGAATATTTTTCGAATTATTATATTTTTATTTTTGTTATTTATTTGAGCTTTAATGCGCTTATCAAAAAAAAAAAAAAAAAAAAAGACAAAATGACACATTTTTCAGTTTTAATGACAAAAAGAAGCATTTATAATGTATTATTTTACTTAGAATCTGCAAAGGAGTGGGGAAAAAATGTTCAAATACTCTATTTAATTACAAAGAACTTTTTTCACAAAATCTGTCATTTTCTGTGGCTGTGTGGATGCATCTGGATCATGTTTGCATTTTCTCGGACTGAAAATGGGCTGATAATTGAGCAAATAGTTGTAATCTGGCTCAGATTCAGACAGGAATCTTGTCTTTGTGATGCTTTTTAAGAAATGAGCATTGGATTTCATTCAATTGCACAAATGTCGACAATTTAGCAAATCTGCCAGAAAACAATATTCTGGTAACATTTAAAGCGCGTTGTAATGCACATTATAT